GGAGAGGGGCTCATCGCAGACCTGGGGAGGGAGGACGGGCGGGGGGTGGCACTTAGCCCCGACGTGATGCCTCACAGGGGAAGTCAGGCAGGAGGAGCTGGCAGAGGCAAATCCACGTGGTTGCCAATAACAGGAGGAAAGTTTTGGGCACGCTGAGCTCCAGGCAGAGCCCAGGGCTGAGGGGACAGCTGCTGCCTGATGGAGCTGATCCCCAGGCGTGCACAGGCAGGATGGGACTCCAGCCCCTGGCTCTGCCTGCTCCGTGCAGGGAGCTGCCAGCGTGGGCCGGGGGCAGCCCCCGCTCCCCTCCCCCAGAGCCGCTGGGGACCCAACCTTCAGGCTGAGGGAGGGGTCCTTCTGCTTGAAGAGGAAGTCCCAGACGTCCAGGGTCCCATCCGATCTGGTGGTGAAGAAGACAGACGGCCTCACGGTGCTCCAGCACCCATCCGTCAGGTAGGAGAGGTGGTACCTGCCAGCAGACCCGATGCAGTGGGGATGGGCTCACGGCCTCCATCCCCCTGGCCCCATGGCCGCTGTGGGCACACACAGCTTCCAGCACGTGCCTGCAGCCAAGAGCCCAGGCCCGGGCACCCTCCGTTCCAGCGCCCTTGGCCACGCTGGCACCGCTTTGCCTTGGGGACCGTCCCACCACCTCCTGCCTGACCTGAGCAGACCAGACCCTGCTCATCGTCTGTCCCAAAGATGCTCTTCCACTAAAAGGAAGAATTTTTGCAGGGCAAACATGCAGACTGACACCTACTTGGTCCACATAATTGACGATTCCTTGGTCTCCTCCGACCAGATTCGAGCAGTCCAGTCACCGACCGTCAGGAAGACTTTGGGATAGAAAGGGTTCCTGGCCAGTGCATAGACAGGTCCGTGATGGCCACTGTAGGTGCTGGTGATTTTTTCGGGGGGTGTCTTGGCCTTGCGGTTGCAGGCGATGACAATGCCCTGCTCTGTGCCTACCATGAACTTGGTGGGCTGAGGGTGAGAGCAGGAGAGAGCAGCAGTCAGCAGGCTGGGGACCCCACGGCGCGGGGGGCAGCGGGGCAGCAAAGGGCTTTGCTGAGCAGGGAGGGGGGGGGAGCTGCAGCCAGCGCCTGGGGAGAGCGGAGCCCTGGGACCTGTCGCGATCTGGGGGGACTTAGAGATCTAAGTGCCAGCAAGACCTTGTGTTTTGGGAGAACATCAACTCCTAATTCTTAAAGATGGGTGAGACCATGCTGCAAGCTGCAGTCTTGGGGTCAGTCTGGGCATCAGACGCTTGTGCCGTGCCCCTGGAGCCCTGCCCATGGGGCTGACTGGCACTGCCCGCCCGGCTCGGTTCAGCTTGGCTCGCCCCCCTGCCCAGGTGAGGATGCTGGTTGTGTGCAGGCAGGCAGGGAGACTCACCATGGTGGGCTCGAACTCCAGCGTGATGGCACCCAGAGCGTTCTCCAGGAGCCCTTGCCGGGTGATGTCCAAGACCAGCGTCTCGGTGGGCTCGGACAGCTTGCGGATGTCCCACCACAGGACCTGCACAGGACAAGCAGCGGGAGGGGGCTGCAGGGCAGGGGCTTCTCCTGGCTCAGCCGCAGGCGCTGGGGAACC